CCTTTAAAAGAACATTCGATGCCATTATGTCTGGAACTCGAATTCTTTTGTATGGCCACCACGGGCTCTCGTTCAGACGCTGAGCCCAATTTTCGACGGTTTTCAAGCATAAATCTCCCGATAATGCTGCAATTTCATTTTCGATATTCTTATGAACTTCATCAATTCTTACTGGCTTGTGCGCTTGATGTATCCCCACAGGAATTAGTCTAACGGAGAGAAATCACACGACCAAATTTCGGTAGTAAATTTTAATAATTTCGAATCGTTGTTGGATCGTATATCTTTTCACGATGTAATGGTAAACCTTACTGAAGAGAAATGTCAAAAGAGCGGGAAAAATATGACGTCGTTTGCTGTCCCTATCGATCTACTTCTTACATATTCTCTAAAAGATATATCAAAAAAACAAACACTTCCCACAGTCCAAATAAATTGAACTTTGAAATGTATGTTCCTACAATAGCCCATAGATTATATGTCCTTCTTTATTGACGTAAACACCGCTTACGCAGTTATAGCCGAGGCTTTTATTTCCTTTTCATGGGGGGCGTTTTTTACGTGGCGATTCCCAAACCCAGGAAGGGTGGTTCTCACTTTAGCTCACGTTCAAACGAATGTTCTTTGGATTCCCAGAGGATACTTTGTCTAAGACCGGAAGTCATGAGCTGCTTGAACCATATGTAAAAGCCGTTTCTGGCCACTCCCAAGTGAATGACGTTCAGAGAGCTTCCTCACTTGCATGAACACACATAACTCCATCCTCAGATGTCCTTACCAAAATTGTATTCAGAGGTGTTTTGAAGCCGCTGCTTGCTGTCCAATAAAATTAAAGAAAGTTAAAACAAAAAGTCGAACTATCTCTGCAATACAATTTACCCAGTTACTCTCGATGGAGATACGAGGTGTGTTCAAAAAGTATCGCGAATTTTGTGTTTTTTCAAAAATTATTTATTTATTCATGAGTATCTATTTTGTCCCCTTCAAAGTAATCCCCATTTTTACACTTGTGCCAACGGTTTTTCCAATCTTCGAAGCACTTCAAAAAATCATTTTTTTTATCTTCTTCAGCTCCTCCTTCGATGGCGTCTTTATATCGTCAAGAGAAGCGTAAAGTTGTCCTTTCAGGGGGCCAGATCTGTGGAATACGGTGGCTGCGCCATCATTAGCGTGTTGCTTTTTTCCAAAAAGTCGCGCACAAGCAACGATGTGTGAGCAGGGGCATTACCGTGGTGCAAAAGCCAATTTTTGTCACATCTTTTCCGCCTTTTTTTACCATCGATAAACGTTGCTTCGGTCCAAGGTGGCTTCTCCGCATGCCACAGTCAACATTCGGAATGCATCCGCGCACTTAATTTCGTTTTTCACACAAAATTTGATATAGGTTCTTTGATCCATTTTTTTGAATAGATAAAAATCGAAGACGATCCAAAACACGTGCAAGCAAAGCAGCTGTCAACAATTAAATGAACATTCAAAATGGCCGAGCTTGTTGGCATAAGTGGGAGACATGAGTGTCAACATAACGCCACAAAAAATTCGAAATTCGAATATACGTAAACCGCGAAAATTCAAAATTCGCGATACTTTTTGAACAGGCCTCGTATACTTGTACTACTTAAAGAGTCCTTCGACTCATCTCTTTCTCTACACTTTGCATCATATTTACATAAATTTCTATTTAGTGATAATTTACTATAAATATTTTATAAAAAAATCGACTTTAAACTTAATTTTATCATACCTAAGTATGTTTAGTATATATTTACCAAATATTTATTTTAGTAAATATTATAAAGCTTTTTAACGGCAATAAAACTATTTAACTAATACTTCAACTAGTTAGAAAATAAAACTATTTTATATAGATACTTTTTTCTAAAAATAATGATACAATGGTTATAATTTTGCTAAAAACTATTTCACTATTATGGTCTTCGATTCGCCACAACTTAGAAATAGACGAAACGAACAAGCAACAATCATAAATGTATTAAAAAATATTATACCACTTTAATGCGATATTTAAACAGCCTTTCGCATTGAATTCAGCTGTACAACATTAGTGTTGCTTTCCAATGTCAATTTTTTGACAAGGGAACAGTGTGAAAAATTAGCGAGCAGTGAAGTGGCGAATCGAAGACGGCTTATATTTAGTAACTGTATGCTTATAAATATAATAACGAATTTAATATTCATAAAATACGAAGTAAGACATAAAGAAATTATTAAAGTAAATATATTAGAAACTGAAAATTGAAGTTCTTAACTTGAAACGATACCAAAGCTAACAGAAGAGTACGAAAACTTATAAAAGCTACGTTATCCTATAACACAAACGTATGTATATACATATAAGTGCTTTAATAATTTAATATTTTAACTTTGGATATTTAAAATAGGTTTTTTTATATAAACGATAATTGTTACAACAATATACCAAAAAAACATTAACAAGTTATTTAGAAAAAAGAGTTAAAACTTGAAGTAGCCAATTAATGGGCACGAATGTTGAGCAAACAAACAACTATCTATGAATTTCTATTTAGTGATGATACAATCATTTAAATAAAAAACATAAGCATTTTAATAAATGAACATCCTTCCCTTATTCACAAAAAAATCTTTGAACTTACTAAGAAAAAATTTAAAATACATAACTACTACTAAATGAAACTAAATGATGCTGAAGGATATAAAACATTTGAAGGTTAAGCTGTCGTTTTGGACCAAGAAACTGTTAATAAAAACACGCCAAAAATAAATTGTAAATAAAAATATGAATACATATTAGTAAATATATGAGTAAATATAATAAACGATGCCATTTCCAACGAAATATAAAAGCTTTCTTATTAATTATTAAGTTACCGTTGGATACCATGATCTTTGGTATTTCTGCCTGTCAAACGATCGTAGCGGAATGACGCTAGCGGAACAGATAGATGATTTGACTTCCTACACAATTAATGACGAAGCCTCCACGAGAATTATGGACACCTGTAATAGCTTGCCCGATAGTACCATAGCTAGTGGTGGTTCGATAAATTGCATAATTTGGCAACCTACGCTAACTCTCATATCAGACTATCTGCCCATAATTACCTCGATCAAGAAACCTCTCGACTTCTGAGGCCTCAATTCCACAAGTTGATCGCAGCAGCTACCGCTCGCTTCATACCGACTATAAGAATTTCTAACTATTTCTCAGCCGAAGCAGCTGCCTCAGTTAATGAGCGCGACACTTTACGCCATGCCGTTCCCTGTAATTTCCGAATAATTGTTAAGTAAATAAACACAGGCAGACAAAAGGTTAGAGCACCTGAAGTCCAGCAACGTCTCAACCGGAGTGAGTAAGTTTTGGACTACTGCTAAGGCTTCGTCTAATCCGACAAAGCATAATAACAGAGTTGAAATCCAGTTCAATGACCATATATATTCGTAACTGAAGAATTTCATGAGCTATTTTAGCCGGTAACTTACACTGCACCCTTCGGTTAACCAATCCAAACAATGTGTTATCCGACGGCCGCCAAAAGACTATGCACCACTTAACTTCTCCGTTGAAGAGGTTCAGAGTGTCATCAAAAAGATAAAATCATTCAAATCCATTGGCCCTAGTAAAATAACCATGCTGACCTAAAGCTCCTAGGGTCGACGATAGTAAGCTACCTGACCAATGACCTCAACCTGTCGCTGACCACTCTTCAAATACCTAATGTGAGAGTGGTAACACTACTGAAACCTAGGAAACCAGACAACAAAGGGGAGTCCTATCGTTCGATAACTCTTCCTCCCTGAAGACTATTGACGCCTTGCTCCTCCCAACCTTCACACACCACCTATGCCCAGCGACCACCAGTATGGCTTCCGAAAAGTACACAGCACGGCCACAGCACTTAGCGCCATAAAAGCTTAAATAGTTCATGGTCTCACCCAAAAACCACACTGCTTGGGAACGATTATCGCAGCGTTAAACTTGTGAAAATCCTTTGACACAGTCATTCACACAACGCTACTTGTGGACATCGAAAAATTTACGCTCCCTCCAGGACTGAAGAAGTGGACTAAGAACTACCTGAGCGGTCCTCAATCATTCAAACTATTTCGAGAAAAAACTCTGAATTGAAAAGAATTAAGCGGGGGGTTCTGTAGGATGATGTCCTCTCCCTGTTAATGTTTAGCTTCTAAATCTCGAAACTCCCTCAACCACCAGGAAATATCTATCACCTCATATGCTGATGATCCTCAGTACAGACTTGAGCTTAATATTCCTCCTCCTTCACTATTCACACGGCCGCGATTATTGCCAAAGTACAGAGCCACAACAAAATCCTCAAATCGCCGGCAGCACCTAGGGAAAAGACAATAAAACGTTGTAGGCAACATACGAGGCAGTCGGCTGGCCGGCTCCTAACTACGCCGCACCAATTTKGTTGGCTGGATGCAGTGAAACGTAGACGAATAAACTACAAATACGTGAGAACATTATTTTCCGGACTTCGACGGGGCGAATCTTGATGTCTCCCATCGCGTATGCTTCCAATTAAGGAGCATAATGAACTCCTCTCCACACAGTTTCTGCTGGGATGCGTTCACAGAAATCATCCCTGCAGTCACCTGTCCCGTATCCGTAATCGACCCTGACATATCAAACATATGTATTATATATCCAGCATGACACCAACCACGTCTTTGCATGCCCTGCAAACCCTACACTTCCCACACCCTTCTCCCTATGGTCCGACCCCGTCGAAACAGCACAAGTCCTGGACCCACTGTTGGATGACCTCGACGACACGTATCTAATCCTTACCATCCTAACGGGGTTTAGGTACTCGTCACAACATAATCAATATACCGTATCGACGGTGAGTGTTTATTTAATTTTTTTACAAAAGTACAAAAAATTGCCTTAATCTATAACTAATTTGAAAGCTAACATTTCGAAAAAATAAATATACGCCCTCTAAATTACTACATTAGGTAATATTACGCAACTACATACACTTTATTTCTAGCCTATAACACTTGTCAGAGTCGGTCGCATTCCAGTGCGCCACCTCGGCGATGGGCCTGCTGGGCTTCAGGAATAGCGTCAACTCTTCGTTAAGACTCAGCGGTGAGAATTTACTCACCACTACCGCTTTAGTGGCACTACGATAACGTTCGGCTAAAGGTGACTCTTCGTCATCGCCGAAGCTGCGTCCCCGTTGATCGGGCCACTCATTTGTCGCGACCACCTGCTTGACTGCATCATCAATTATGCGGTAACTTGGCTGTTTATAGGGGCTGAAACCAAGCTTTTTACATATTTGCCGCACCTCTTTCAAATCTGGTGGACTGTTACGTGGAAAGCATTTTGTATGCCAAACGCCATAGGACTGCTCGATTACCTGACCGAACTGTGGTAATTGCTTGTGCTTGCTAGGTAGGGAGAGCGAGAGAGAGAAAAACAAAGAAGTAGAAAATTAAATAAAGATCTATGTTATTAATCGTTGCTTACAGTTGCGGTGGCTTAGTAAAGCCGACCTTTCGCGTTATTATCTCTTGCGGAAATTCGAGACCCACGCAGTATTTCTCATCTTCGCCATTTGGACAGTCCGGTTCTTTATCGCAAACGAAGTCACGTGGCACACACTCATTTGATGAACTGAGAAATTAATAATTTTCAATTAATCATAAATCATCACATCAATTAATACAATATAAAAGACTACACTAATTAAAACTTTTGTTTTGTTGCTTAAATCTCTTTAAAAAATATCTAAGAATACGTCCCCAAAGTTATAGATGAAAATTCGCAATATTTTCGAAGCTAGAAGGAAAATAGTGACCGATCGTCTAGCAGATATATGAGCGATTGGGAAAGCGAAAACTTTGATGCGCCATTTCTCGGTTGTTTTTACGTTTTTGCTTAATTGGCGGGCAGGATAGAAAGAAACTAAATTTCGTATGAAATTGGTGCAAAGTTCACTATATTTGGCATTAAATTATCTTCTATTTAAGCTAAAGTACTAAGAAAAGTCAAGATTGAACATATTTTGAAACAACATAAAGTGGAAAATGTTTGGCAAAAACCCAATTTTTTTTCAAGTTTTAAAAAATTTTAGAATTTTACACTTTTTTAGAATTTTTTTAATTTAACTAGAAGATATGTTATTAGCAAATACAAATCTATTTAAATTTTTTGGCTTAGGTAGAAATTGCGACCTGCATCCTTCCCGCCGTCCGGCAAATGCATATGCGAGATGCATCGTTCAATTACTTCCCAGAAGCAGAATATAAAAGATTTTGTATTCAAACAATGTGAGAGTGATGTTTAAATATAATATATAACTATAAACTTCAGAAATTTCGTTTTAATCAATTAATTCTTACCCTCCTAAAGACATCATCAAAAATTGATTTTTTGAAGCTTCTAAATCGGGCTCCCCCCTTAACGAATACTTTTACGAAACACCACAATATTGAGTCTTGTCAAGCAACAAGTGGATTAGTTTCTATGAAGGTTGCCTCTTATAGTTCGGGATTCGAGAACAAAAACACATTTCAATCAACGATAATAGCTATATTTTGTTTTTCAAAATATTCTCCATTAACGTCTATACATTTTTGCATGCGTTTGAACCAATTTTCGAAGTACGTTTGCCACTCTGATTTAAATACCTCAAAAACATGCCCTTTCAACGAATCAAGTCAAAACACGTTCTTAGTTTATTTTTACGAATGGGAATAAAAAGAAGGTCATCCGGTGCCAAGTCAGTACTATAGAGTGGATGACCCAGCAAATTGATGTTCTAAATGCTGAAAAATGCAGTTGTTGCAACATTTTTGTTGGATTCGGCTCATCATGAAAGCTATATAGTCTACTAGTGTTTACTTTCAGGCTCACAAACGTAAGTCCACGTTTCATCACCTGTCACGATGTCATAGACGTTTTTTAAAGCTATTGTATTTAATAACATTTATCCAATCGACAAGAGCATTTATGAGCGATTGTCAAATTGTGTGGGATCTAACGTGAACAATTTTTTTTACAGTAAAATTTTCAGTTAATTTTGAATGTGCGCTCGCCCCACTAATGCCTATAGTCCATTTAACCTCACGGTAGGTCACATGGCAATCTTGCAGTATTAGTTTGCGCATAGCCTCAATAGTTTCCGGAACTAGAACTGATTTTGGACGACTTTCCCGCAATTCGTTTTGGAGTGATCTACGACTTGAATTGAATTCGAATTCCCATTAACTCTGCACAACAGAGGCGGCCAATTGGCTGGGCCATTTCGTGAGATAACACGTTCACCATACATGGTTTGCAGTAAATCGACATTTGCTATGTGGCTGGTAGCGCCGTCCTGTTGGAACCACATACTGCCCAAGTCCATATCATCCAATTCGGGCTAAAAATATTCGTTTATCCTTGAAACCGCATCATACCGAAACTTATTAACGAAGTTATTCAGTCAGAATTCAGCCTCATCGCTGAAGTTGATTTTTCGATGAAATTCCGGATCATTTTCAAGTTGTTGCTCAACCCGATTCGGGGTTTTAGTTCTTGCGTCAATTTCATCTTGTAAAGATGTAGGTCAAGATCTGTTCTCGAAATTCGTCACAACAATGTCAAGAGCTCAAAGCTTGAGAATAACGTGTGAGAGAATGATTTGGATCTTCCCCAATTGATGCGCCAGCGGCAATAATATTCTAAACACTAAGGGAACTTCTTTATCTCACTGTCAGAAGAACATTTCGTACTATGCCTGTGGATTCAAATATTTCCACTAGACGCTCAATTGTTGATCTGACAGAACGATTATGACGACCAAATTGGGCGTAGATTAAAGTTGAGGCCACTGACTCCGAATTTCGGTAAGAAATTTTAATAATTTCGACTCGTTGTTGGATAAAAAATAAATGGAAAAATATGGCGTAATTTCCTGTCCTTATTGGTCTACTTTTGTAGCATCCCTATTGAAAGACCCGTAATTTTATGTAAATGTAAAAAACACAAATAGCGCGCGTATGTTAAGATACACATACTATCAAAAATATCAATCTGTACGATAAAATTGTGAGTTTCCAGATTGCAACACATCCCGAAATATAAAAGGCAACCTAGGTATTTTGTATGTAAAAGAGTAAGATGCTTCTCACTCTCTTTTGGTAAGCATTAAAAGTCTGTAAACCATATTGTATGATAATCCCTTTTCTTTTACATAAGTAATATTATTTATTGCATAAATAAAAAAAGTAAATTTAAAGTAATTTTAAAATTTGAAACATTCTTTACTTACGCGCCACACGGAAAGTGATTCGCGGTACAATTACAAATCGCTGGGCTTTCATCGCTTTTGTCCCAGCAGTTGCGTATGCCATCGCATATTTTCTTCGGATCTGTGGCTCTAGAATATTAATTAGCTTTTGATAATCTTCAGATTTATTTGGACTTACTGCAGATATGTGTAACAGGAACAAAGTGTAGGTTCATCAGTCATATCATCACAATCAGCTATGTGATCGCAAAATTTCGTCTTTGGTATGCACTTGTATGTAGACCTACATTTCATTTCCGATGGTTGGCAAACTAATAATTTACAAGAAAATTTAATAAAAATTACACAAAAATAAAAAAGATGTAGTATTTTAGTTATCATAAGCATTTTCCACTCAGCAGTTTGTAACTACGTGAGTCGTGTCAAGGTGTCATGTTACTTTTGTATAGTATTGTTTGAGATTTCATCATGGAAAGACATTCGCCTGAACAACGTTTACATATTGTTCAACATAGGACGAAAATTCAGATTTTGTAAAGAATGTGTTTCGCGTGATTCGCTCAACTTATACTTATACAATCAACTTATGGTCAACATAATCGGCCCCTTGAGCGTACTATTCGCAACCCCATCATCCATCTTGAGTTCTAGCATTCATTATTGGATTATATCCGACCGAATAGGCCATGCCGGACGTGATATAGTGAAGAAAATGTAGCAGACGTGGCTGAGTGTATACAAGAATACCGTGGAGCGTATGGAACAACTTGGCGCATATTACGTCGAGATCTTAAATTGAAATTGTACCAAATACAGCTTGTGCAAAATCTGAAGCCGCTCGGCCTTCCCCAGCGACATCGCGTCGCTCTTGAAAAGTTCCAAGAAGATAAGACATTTTCGAGCCAAATTTTGTTCAGCGATGTGGTCCATTTTCAACTCAATGGGTCAAGAAACCTGAAGAGATTCAAGAACTGCCATCCCATACAGAATAATGTGGTTTGTGGGCCGGTGGAATCGTCGGTCTATATTTCTTCAAAATTTCAATGGCGACCATTATCGCATTATGATATCGGACCATTTGATGCCTGAGATTAAAGCTTGTGGACTTGGCGACATTTGGTTGCAACAAGACGGTGTCGCTTAATGCACATCGCATCAATCAATGGATTTATAGATGGACAGAGGGTAACTTCAGTGAACAGATAATTTAGAAAATAAAGTCTAAAATCTATGCAGATAATCCCGCTTCGATTCAGGCCTTGAGCAAAACATCACGCTTGTCATTCGCCAGTCACCAGTTGAAATGCTCGAACGTGTCATCCAGAATTGGACTTAATTGGATCTGAGGCGTAGCCGCAGTCAACTTTTGAAATAGATAATTTTCAAAAAATAAATGCCAAAGAATATTCTTTCGAATGATAATAAACATTGTCCATCAAATTTTAAGTTTCTTTTTTTTCTTTAAAAAGTGGAAACTCCGAAATGGATTACCCTTTACTGAGGATTCCAGTGATTTTAAGAACGACTTTCCTACTAGCTTGCTAAGAAAATACTTATTATTTTCATTAAAATTTTCTGAAAGTTTTTCTTCTATTAAATTTTCATAGTCTAAAAGATCACTTGGCAGTCAAGTTAATATTGAATAGAGAGGTCCCTCAGTTTTGAAGCAACAATGAATAGTTTTGGAATGTTTTAAGTGCGTACGTTTATGAGCTTCGTGCTTTAACCCTTAATAACCTCCAAAACCTTCCACTTGATCTTAAGATCCTCATGAAATTTCTTATAAAGTTGTTGGTCTATAATTCTTGGGGTCGGAATATCAAGCTACTTTTGTCCTATTCTGAGTTTTTTTCAGAAACTTATTTTTCTTGATTATACAAAATTAGACGAGTATTTGATCTTATAGTTTTTACATTTTATGTCTTTGAGTCTTGGAGATTCTTAATCGGAGAGATTGAAAGACCACAATAAACTAGTTGTCCTTAATGTGCTTAATATTTTACTACAAAAATAATTTCACCAACCTTTTTTACGCCCACTACACATTTCTTTCTCTTCATCAGCTCCATCATGACAGTCATTCATGCCATTACAAATTTGTTCCTCTTCCAAACAATCACCGAGCATGCAACGAAAAGTGCTACAAACCGGCGCCCCGTTAGAATGCTCACATTTCGATTGGTCTATAAGTGGGTAAAAAAATAGCACTACAACATTATAATGTACGTATTTGGATCACCAACTGACCTATTAATTTCTGCATTTCACCGTAAACCCTTTCTAGAGTACGCAAAGCAAATGAATCCTTAAAACTGTAGCAATTTGTATTATTGTAGTCGAATAAAGCCAATGGGAACCAGCCGGAATCTGTTTTTCGACATGACAAAATGCCCTGATCGACAGGTTCGAGAGCTGTGCGACTAATGTTCTTCTTGCCAAATTGTGTGCATGTTGTGAAGCGAGAGATTGTCGATCCCGTCGAGTCGTTGTTTTTATCTAAATCTTCTTTTAGTTCCTCCGATAAGCTTGCAAAATCCTCATCGCTTAATCCAAGCCCTATTAGCTCTCTTGGTGGTTTATGTTCTATTAGCCGAAAGCATGATGTGTCCGAAACTTTACATAGAGCATCATTTCGTTCCTCAATAGCGGATACCGCTTTTATACGGCCGCTCTGTTCGTCGTGTAAAATAGCAATGCATTGGTAAGACTCATCAGCCACGTTTTTAGCACTGTAATTGTTTAATACTATATATTAGCTTAGATATTATTTTAATGATGCTTACAAGTCGGGTAAAAATGTCGGCAGTACATGGTGTGTAAAACGCACGGGTTTTTCTAAATGGTACAGCAGCACATCGCTTTTAGCCACCTGCTCGAAACAGTCGACCCGTCGTATCTGTTCGTGTGTGCTTTTGTGGCGGCGACTTTTCGTTTTGCTACCACCCAACAGCGCAGCTATATAATTGGCATTGAATCTACAAAGACCATTAGAATTAAGGTACATATTTGATTTAATTGAAAAAAAGCTGTAATCACCTAACACCATAATGACAAGACTCGTGCACCAACACCCAATATTTATCAACCAAGGCGCCAACGCACCACAGCCGTCCATCGACGTACACATCAACCACCCACGGCCAGTGTAACTCTTCCACAGCCTCGTGTAATTTATTATCTATCAAAAGTGTCATATTCTTATGGTTCTTTAATAACCCGTCCAACTTATCAAGCACTTCATCTTTCTTCTTCACCATAAATGATGTTGATGGCGGTGTTACGAAGACGTTCGGTTTACCATGCGTTTCTAAATCCGGCTGCAATACAGATGATGGCAAGCCCGATGGCGATACTTCGTCTCCCGCACTTACAGTCTTAATAGGCTCTACTTTATAAGCTTTGGCTTCACATTCCACAAAGAGACCAAAGCACTCATCCTTCACATGTTCTATGAATTGAGTGCGCGCCTTGAATGCTTGATCGTTTACACGAAATTGGCGTTCCGTATTGGAGAAATGGTGATTGTCCTCTTCTATGGCGGAAAAGTGTATACGCAAATTTTTAGTTTTCTTTTGAATATCCGGATGTATGGGTACTATGGAGTCGTGTGTAATGAATTTAGTTGTATTGTAGAATTTTAAACTTTTGAAACCTAGCTGTGCGCATACATTTTCTGCCGTTGTGAAAATTTTTTCCGAAAAAGGAATCTCATGAGAGCATACCACACGCCATTTACCGTAAGTATTACGAGAAAATATACCGGCATTATTCAGAACGGGTCGCCTATCGGCGTCCAAAACAATTTTCTTTCCATTCGTTAGAGCAACTATGAAGCGGAGACATTAACAAGTTATAGTTTGCAAAAAATTATAATCTTTATAAGATTACTCACAGCAGTCCTTTTCATCTTCCTTAAAAGCACAGTCGATAGTATCGTCACAACGTTTTTGCAGCGGCACACAAATTTTAGAAAGTGGGCACAGAAATTCACTGTCATTGCAATCACCTGACATATATGTATATTTATATGAAACTTTCGCGATATTCATGCACACATATGTGTGTATGTACTTACCACAATTCTCTTCATCGGTAAAATCTTCACAGTCAACCTTCCCATCACAAATTAGTATATTGAGAGATCCTTTCAAATAGTCTCGACATGTACAGGACTCCTCATCCGTGCCATCTTCGCAATCCAAAACTCGATCGCATCGATTTGCAAACTCTACGATTTGCGGTATTCTAAAATTTATAGGATAGAAAAAAAGTTATTTCAAAATTTATACATCGTCAACTTTAATATTTTTACTTTGGATTATAATAGATGGATGGATATAAAAACTTTAGACCAAAAAATCTAATTGGTTCGTAATGGGATGCCAAACAAAAAACTTCTATAGCTGGTTTTAATTTGAGGCAGAATGGTTCAGTATTCAGTCACAGAAAACCTAAAGAGCACCTCCCCATTCTAATTCCACAGTTATCCTAGTAGTCTCATCAGCCATACAGTTTCCTCCAATACCGCTGTGGCCAGCCATGAAAAACTCTCTAATCATAAAATAACTCTTGACATCCTTTCGTCAGCTTTGAGCGCACGGTCAGTGAACTCGAGACTACAATAATATCGCTACTCTACTATTGGAGTGAGTAGTCACTAATCTGGAGGATGCTGCGCTCCGAAGCCGATTTTTTCGAGAGTGTAATTTTCTCCAGCCGCTTCCATCAAATGAAAATGCCGTTGAACTTTTTAGGCTTATCTATGGTTTCATAGAGAAAAAGAACTACCTTTGGTGACAGCTTCCACCTTTTGCTTATATCTTGTCTGCAGCAGTTTAGGGGAACCTAATCATCCCTTGCTCTTTCATAATTTTATATTTTCTGCAAGAGTTCGGTCAAGGCTAGGATTATGGAGAGACCGTTTTGAGCAGCCCAGTCTCTTACGATACTAAGGTACCCCTGAGTTAGCTCATATATGGTATTCAGAAATTTTTCCTCAACCCTTACCGCTATATCGAGTTGTTATTACGTATAGTATGGTTTAAAAAAGTGATGTATTGATTTTGTAAATTTTCGGTTTAAAATCTTAATGTGCCCAGTGATGGATTCCCAACCAATTACTCGTATGATGTCCACTTTTCATAGCAAAATATGTGAGAGCTAGGAGAACATTGCATCACTATAGAACATATAAATATCGAGTAAAACTATTTAAGAAAAAAAAGATATAAACTACCCCCAACCCGGCCGAGATAACTCTAAAGTAACTAGAAAAACTTCTAAGTGTGATATTTGATCCACATCAAATTAAAGTGTTTGCTCTTTTACCTAAGTGTGATCTTACCTACTACACATATTGTGATTTTCATTACCTACCAGGCCACAACAAATGAATGAATGCCTTTAACAAGAAACATATGTTACTACTATTTATACATACCTTTGGCAGACGAATTTCCCCGGCATAGTGGTATTACTAAACTTCTTTGGCTTACTCGTAGTTGAATCATTAGACGTTTCCGAAGTTAAAGTTACATCATTTGCTATTTTTTTCGATGTCTGCGTTGTATCTGGCTTGTGGGTAGGAGATAGCGTAGCATCCGTTGGCTGAGTTGTAACCAAATTTTCAATATCAAAAGGCGTTAACGATTCTGTTGTGATTTTAGAGGGCGTCGTAGTTTCAGTTGTGGTCTCCGTCGTACTCATTTCTGTTGTCTCAATTCTCACTGTTGTACTTATTTCTGTGGTACTCACTACCGTAGTAGTTGTAATAACTTCCGTCGTGCTGGGAGAGATAATTGGTGTGTCTGCCGCAGTCCATAATGTGGTTTCGCTTTCGGTAGTGGACTCTGTGGTACTGATTTCGGTAGTTGTTGGCTTGGCGCTGTTTGCTTCAGAAGTATTTGATTCTTTGGTAGTGGTTTGATTTATAGTAGTCTCTTCTATACCAGACTCTGTTGTAATTGTTTCAGTCTTACCAAACTCAGTGGAATTTACACTATCAGTTTTAGTTATCTCTGAAATTGTTGGAACTTCTGTTGTGAATGCCGTTGTATTATCCTCATTTTCCTCTGACTCTACGCGAGCCTGGCGTTCTGTGTCCGCTGCTTTGCAGTATGGGAGTGTTACCAAATTTTCGGGATAATAATCACTTTCAGTTGTTGCTGTTGCATTTATGCTACTACCGACCATATCTGGAATGAAATTGTAAGTGCAGCCCACCTCATCTTCACCACCTAAACAGTGAACAACACGATCGCAACGTTGCTTTTTAGGTATGCAGCGCTTCCCTCCCCACACACAAATGTAACCGGGACAAGTTAAACGGGGCCGAAGTTTCGCTAGAAATTTTGTCGCCATTTCGATCCAATCCAAGAAGAGCGCAACGCGTGTGTATGCGCCGAATTCATCAGGGCGCGCACATCCATTGCCATGGCTGACAACTCCGGCCAAGTACCACTCCTCAGTATTGTTAGCACTGCGGCAGAACAAAGGACCGCCGGAATCACCCTGGCAGGCATCGCGTCCACCACCAGAATCACCAGCACAAACGTCTTCAGACCGCCTGTCATCTAGCTCTTTACATTGCTTCCGTATTGGCACAACAACCTCACGTAATTGATCACCTAGAGCCAAAGAATTTATGACTTCAATAAATTGTTTACTATTATTTCACGTTCTACATACTTCCAGGCCCTTTTTCACGCACTGCCCCCCAACCCACAACCGTACATAACGTATTCTCTTCGGGTCCCCAAATCCAATCTTCGCCAACAGTAGTTCGACCCATATCGGGTAAGCAAATCGGTTTCACCCAACGATTAAAATTCAGTGATTCACTCATGCGTAAAAGGGAAAGATCGTTTCGCATGCTACGCCTCTCATATGCCTGATGCACAGTTATATGAGACACTGCACGGATTTGTGTAGAGCTCGAAAAGCTCGTTCGACGTAACAATCCAGCATAAATTTCATAATAATATTTATGGTAGTTTATAACACAGTGAGCGGCACTAAGAATCTATGAATGAAAATTATTGCATTTACATACGTACAGATTTATTAAGAATCCAAAAATTATTAACCAATATGAGATATAAGGAGCTTACGATTTGTTACAGATATTACAAAAAGTTTTCGCAAATAAAATCGAGAAGAAATAGATAATGCAAGTAGTTACTATGACTCAATTCCGCAAACAAGTCTAAATTAATAAAATGAAAATGAAATGATAAAATCAAACTGGTTTCGTTGGAATGTGAAAGGTGTTAGTATGAATTCGGAGAGATTTTTTTTTATATTTCAAAGGTTTTTTTAAATGTTATGCTGCACTGTGCATAACGTGAGCTTTAAGCAAAACTCTAATGGCGGCTCTTGAACTGGTACTAAACCATGCCACCTATAGACCTCTTCGCTGAAAATGAGCAAAATGAACGGGTGGACTACTGTCTACAGGAGAATTTGCATATAGAACCTTCGCGCATAGTTCGGTGGGTAATACCGATTGGACATGATCCCACTTTTCAACTTGGAAAGAAGGTTGAAAGTAAAAAAGTAAGTAGAAAAGGTGGCTGGCATAAAGGTATGTTAGCTACGCACAACACCTAAACATCTATACGGATGGCTCGAAAAGGGACGATGGAGTTTATGCGGGAATATACTGTCCAGAACTAGGCATAAGGCAACCTTTTAATTTGCCGAACCACTGCATTGTATTTCAAGCAGAGGTCTGTACTAAGGCGGAGCTGGTCTTTAATTCACACTAACTGGTTACTATCTGTTGACATATACACACTCTCAGGTTGGGGCCGACAGATCGAGAAGACTGCAGGAAATGGATCATCAGATTAATCTAGCCTAACCTTACTTAAGATATATTTACTCCACATATACTCCCACCTAAATCAAATTCATTTATAATACCACTGAACCCTGAAATTGTTTACATCAAAATACTCTGACCCAAACCTTATAAACTGGGAATTGAATCGCTATTTTCAAAACAATTTATTTTATATTGTGTAGATTACAGTAACTTCAAATATTCATTTCGACCAAAACATAGAATCAAATCGCGAATTACTATTATTTTCTACAACTTGCTTATAGATCTCAGCAATAGTACATTGATGACCTTAATTAAATCTTTGGCGATAAAGCTACATCATGGACCAGTGTTTATATATGATAAATTCAATCCAGGTTATAGTCCACTCTAAGACGGTATTTCGTGAAGGTCGTCCAAAATCAGTGGTTATTTCGGAAACAAGATTCATCATATGGCATATGGTGAGATTAAGACAACTTTAGGCTATAGTGGAACCACTCCATGAACATTTGATTGTAAAAAACAAATTTGTCCAAGTGGGATACCACATAGTTTGTCACTCAAAGCTCGTTGATTAGTAGACGTATATACGGTACAATATAGCGGTTCTTTCAAAGGCGAAAGTAAACTTCAGTCGTATGTGAGCCGTATCCCATCAATTAGTTAACTGTTTTTTTTGGGAAAACTGGTCGCGTCGCAATCATACCACTTGAATAACGCAGATCACAAAAACATTTGTTTGCCAGTGGTTTTCCAGAAAATGAGAAAAACCAACCCCAAAGACGAATCAGTGACTGAAACAACTGCAATTTTTAGCACGCAAAACAAGGATTTGGTACTGACTTGACACCGAATTATTTTTTTTATTCGCGTTCCTAAAAGTGAATTAAGACGTCCACATTTTTCGACTTCTGAAGTGACGACTGATGCGTTCAAAAGGCATGTTTTGTATATATGATCCTTAATCAGAGTGGCAAAAATGCTTCAACTTGAATATATTGATCTTAATGGAGAATATTTCGAAAAACAAGAAAACCGATTATTAATATTTCTTTTTGTTCTCTAATCCCTACCCTCATAAATAACACTAATCTGATTCTTGCATTGCACAATTAACTAATTAAAAATATGTTCACTATTTAGAAAAACGTAGTTCAAGAATTTTTAATTCATTATTTGTAGTTACCCAATTTTCGTTATATATTGTTCCACCACAATGAAATTTGCCATCTCTATATATGGCAACGACGAACGGCCATTGCATTGGTGCGCTATAGCTGCCACCAACAATGCGTCCATTGAATATGCCACGCTGTTGTTGCTTCTTCATTGTTTGCGATGCTGTCAAAGCTCTTGAACGTTTTCGACGAAAAGCTTTTACAGTCTTCTTCTTCACAAAACCACACATGGTTGATGAGCAATTCACATAAGCAGCCTGATCCACGAGATTATCGTGTACATCGCGTTGCTGACAAGACTGCGGAAAATGCGCCTGTCCCACTAAAGTAGGTTCAATAAAGGGGCCGGGTAATGTTATCGCACGGAAAGTCACATTCGGTATTGCGCTGTGTTCGGCTTCACTAGCACAGGCTTCATTAGCCCACTTTTGAGCATTGTTGCAGACAGGATACCATTCACCCCGATAATTGTGGAAGAGGAAACCGCTCGAACTTGACACAGCGTGGGACTGTTTAATAAATTAAGGAAAATGTTGGAAAATCATTTTTGGAACAAAATTCTTGGCTCACCATATGATCCGACACATCTTTGACAATAATATTACATTCAAGTTCGTCTCGTCCATTTAGACAATTCATAACGCCGTCACACTTTTCGGTTGCACTATAACACATTGAAACCGTCGACCGATTAAATGCAGTATATTCCTCAGAACTGCCGTAACATGAATATATTAAATCGGAGCAACCAAAACAACCAAGCTCATCTTCACCCATCGGACAATCAGCGTATCCGTCACAAATACGTTTGCTGGCCAAACGATCTATGCAACGACAAGCTGCCTCATCACTACCGTCAGAACAGTCCACATAACCATCACACCAAGCACTCTTCTGGATACACTCTTTGCCCCCATAACAACCTGTCTGCTCTGGCGACGGACACTGAAAATGATCCACATGGCCCAAGTGATCAGGAATATTGGTGTAGGAGGCATAAATTATATCGCTCGACAGATTTTGGGCACTCGTACGCATCTTGAAGCTTCCATTACGGAATCCCATCACGTTAAAACTGCTACCAAGTCCACCACCACTCGTGCCACTGGGACTATTATTGGCATTGTTTTGCATGTAAGTGCAGAAGAATTGTTGTTGTTGTTTTCTTGGTGCAGCATTCTTCGTAAACAGATTACCCATATTACTTTGGCTGCAACAAGTCACTATCTAGAGTAAAAAAATGCGTGCAATGGCCCAATGTGAGCCATGAAGTACTTACCCACCATTTCCCGTACCACCTGTTTGGCCGAAGAAACTTCCCGTTGGACCAACGTTCTGAGGCACAAAGAAAACACCATTTGGCGTATTAAAACTCATGGGACCGCTAGTATAGCTGACCGGCATGCCTTGGAAATTTGGTGTCCACATAGGGTGCTGATTACTTACGCGGAAGTTGGCTGGGGTTATGTAAAAGCATATCGGTATGGTAGGCATACCGAAATTGGGATTGTAAAGGAACTGAGCCGTGGCCTTCATTGTTTCACCAGTAACTGGAAAGCCTCCTGGTCCACGACTTGTAAATTGCGAACTCGGTGCCGGCGTGAAGGAGTCAGACACAGTGTAAGCACCCTTGTTGTGCAAACGTCTTGCCACTTGATCACACAACGACAAGAATTGGGCATCTGAAAATATTTGGGTTAACACTGTAAAATCGGTGGTTATATGTATGCAATAAGCACATACCCTGGAAAGTGTTTGTGTTTGCTGAATTCAGTTTGGCACCAAATTTCATCATAGAGTCAATATCTCCTATCTCGAATGTATCAATTAATTCATCCCGCTGATGTTGTACCACTGAGGTTTTGCGAAATAGTTCTTCCCAAACTTTAGGATCATACGGAGCGCTTGTGGTTGGAGTAGAGTTCTTAATATTTGGCCAAAGAATATCTTGTTCTATATGTTTAAAACCGTGCTGTTTCTCAGAGCTATCAAGCATATTCTCTAAACTGGAGGGATAATCCAGAGGATGCGAGCGGTCGTTACCGCCTGTACGTGCTTTTTCATGTTCAATGTCGGGTTTTCGTGTTGTTACGCAGTCTCCGCCATAAGTTATCATAATGCCTGTAGTATTAGTAAGAATAACTGTTTGATTCATTACCAAGTAGGGTGTGGAGTGCCCACGTGGTAGTGTTGTGGTTGAAGTGTCATTTTTGTATTGTTCGTAGGATTTGTTTACTTCTTCAACTATTGAGTCATATTTCAATTTGCGCAGCTTATCTTCTTCTTTCTCAACAGCTTCCGTAACCGCTTCCAATTCTTCAAATATATCTCGTGTCGACGTCGATGTGGTCCTTGATGTGGACGTAGTTACAATATGGTCATCATTACCGTCAATAATCCAACTGATCCTATCGGGTTTGTCTTCTATTTTCATGGTGGATTTTGATGTAGCTTTGGGGGTTGTTTCTTCAATTTCAGTTTCATCTAAAATCCAGCTTATTTTTTCGGTGATACTGGAAGTTAATTCTTTTGATAAACTGGGCTGTGTCGTATTTTTAGGTTTATCTTCTTTTCCTTCATCTTCTTCATGATGCCCATCTATTATCCAACTAATCTTTTCAGGTTTATCATCTACAATTGTCTTTGTCGCTTGAGTTGTGGCAGAAGTATGCTCAGCAAATTCCGTGGTTTTGTTTTTTTCTGACGGTTCTGCATTAGTTTTTAGAGTTACGGTTTTATCCACGTGTACGGTTTCGTTATCGCTTTCAAAACCATCTAAAATCCAGCTTATTTTGTGTGATTCATTTTCGGTGTGTGCAAAACTTGTATCATTATGTTTCTTCGGTATTTCCGTCTGTGCACTTTCAGTTCCGTGATTTGTACTATTAGCCAAATTTTTGTTTAAAGTCACAGTTCTTTGAGTACTATCTGTGGCAGTAGGTGACACTTCCCTGACCGCGGTTGATTTTGGCAAAATACTTGGTGTTGTTCCACTTGTACTTTCCTTCGTAGTGTCTTTATCTTCAGAATTATCGTGTTGTCCATCTATAATCCAACTAAAATGAATTTGCTCCTCGTCCTCTTTAGTACTAGAATTTCGTTGCGCAAAGCCATCTCCATCCGTCACTGTAGCTAAACTCGACTCCGTCTTCGGAGCAGTTTCTTCTTTGCTGTTAGCGCCCTTGTGAACATCTTCCTTGAGTTCCTTGGACTCTTTCGAATCTGAACTTTTACTCTGTGTGCGTGTTTCTTCATTATCATTAAATATCTCTTTCATTTTGTCCATTTTCTCACTGATTTCTTTAGCTAAATTGTACAGCTTTAGAAACGAAACCATGCAACTGCTACTCTTTACTGACTCCTTTTTGCAACGAAAGTATTCTTTCTCTAATTCACCCAACTCCTTACGTGTTCGTTTGTCTCGCACTTTTGTGTACAATCTATCGAAGTTTGGACCACGCTCTAAAAATAAAGGATCCAACATGTCGGGCAGAGTTCTACGACGTCGATGGTAGGAAACTGAAGAGCGCAAATGCTGAACGTCTAAAGTTCGATCATACTTATTGGTTATTTTATAGTCATAGTTGGATGTCGGACTATTAGCGGCTTCATCTCGAGGTAAATGATTGTAGGGTAGATTATTTAGTATTTTCTGATGTTGGGAATTCGATGTGTCAAAATTACGATGCTTTCCTACGCGAAAGGCATACATTATACATTTATGTACATCCAAGAATTTTTAAAACTTACCGCCACTATCAAGCCTTATTGCGTGATAGACTAAGAGTATGAAGACCACCAACAATGCTATTCCAGATATGGCGAGTATTTGAAAAAGAAGTGTCTTCAGACATTTTCTTTGATACCTTGGACCGCACACATCAATATCTGTGGTCAAAAAATTATTTTATGAAAGTGGAAGCATACACAATATTTATTTTTATGTGATAAAAAATCGAACTAAATGAGGTATAATTTATATAAAGGATATACCAGGAAAAAGTTAACCAGAACAACGGAAATCTTAAGGTATAAGACGTATAGATCGTTTCCAAAGTCCAAAATCACTATTTCGATTATATTGGCGCTATTTGTGGTAAGCTGTGGGCTGATTACACTAACGCATTACTAAAATACACTCGCAATCAAGTTTCCATACATTTTTATGAATATAACTCACACACTGACCGACATATTCAGCACAAATATCTGCAAGAACAACGAAAATCATTACGGTATGTAGCTTACCAATTGCTACAGCAATTTTTCGTGGACCGATTTCGCACCTTTTCGGCATAAACTATAACTTCTTCAGTAATATATTAGGTTATCAAAAAAGTCTTGCGCTATTTTCGCTAGTTGACGCTGAGAGCGCATAGTTCTAGTTTTATTCGTCGTATCAGGTCGTGCTATACCTTTTTGGAAAGCTCATTTCACGCGCTAATACGTGTTAGATTGATTGTTTCTTTTAAGTCGTTCGTGTGTTATAGCGTCGCAAATATGGAGCAAAATAAAGAGAAAATACGACATATTTTACAGTACTACTACGATAAAGGCAAAAATGCATCTCAAGCCGCCAATAAAATTTGTGCAGTTTATGGACCCGATACAGTTTCCATGCCCACCGCACAACAATGGTTTCAAGGTTTTCGTTCTGTTGTAGAGGTGGTCGAAGATGCGCCACGCTAAGGAAGGCCTGTAGTCGAAAGTTGTGATAAAATCGCTGAATTGGTCGAAAGAGACCGGCATAGTAGCAGCCGTAGCATCGATCAAGAGCTGGGCATGAGTCATCAAAAGAAATTTTATGAACAATTGAAAATTCAACAAAAATAACGCAAGACTTTTTTGACAACCTAATAACTATTTTAATTTTATTTTACTAAGATAAATTACATACTAGTCCAACAAACTTTCGACACTAAGAAAATCGTTAGACAGACTCTTTAATAGAGTGAACCTCATCTATGAGTGTAGTGCTTATAGAGCAAGCCTTACTATATAGCGCAAGGAGATACGCAACGCCAAGAGAGACAAATTCACTTTCCTGGAGCGGTCACCATGGAACAAATAACCCCGACCATTGATAATAGAACAGGCTCGTTGTACTAGAGAGTGATAAGATAGGCATATTCTTCTTCTTCTTTACTGGCGTAGACACCGCTTACGGGAAGATAGCCGAGTTAACAACAGCACGCTAGTCGTTTCTTCTTTGTCCCTTGTCCTTCCAACGGAGTGGAGATCTTCCTCTTTCTCTGTTTCCCCCTGCGGGTACTGTGTCGTATATTTTCAGAGCAAAGTATCATAAATCTTTCGCAGAACTTTTTCCCGAAAATTCGCAACGTCGTCATCGTCCAAGCCTCTGCATCATATGGTAGGAGGGGAATGATGAGTGACTTATAGAGTTCGGTCTTTGTTAGTCGAGAGAGGACTTTGGAAAACTGGCATATATCGTAAGAAAATAGAAGAGTAATCTTCATATTGACTTGCTGCTAAAGGGTATGAAGAAGCTAGTAGATCACCACATCACGACAACTGTTCTGGAAAAACTGCACCGAAGCCGAATCAACACGCCTACACAGCTGGTAGATCCACGGACAGAGCTCATTACAATGTAGTCACCGACATTGAGGATGTTCTTGTAAAGGCAGAAGTGGTATTATCCGCCTTTCTTGACATAAAAGGGCGTTTTACAATACCTGGAGAGAAAGGAGATGTCTTTCATCTTTAAGAACCTTAGCGCTCATTGGGGTGGAAGGCTCGGGTGGATGAAATATGTAGGGCTGGTACTAAATTCAAAATTTAGGTAAAAAAAGCACGTGGATTCCACGATTGCGAAATCCATCAGAACATTGATGCTGTGCATATCCCGTATGCCTGGATATCCTCAATGTTAGTCAGCCCAATAATCATATATGGAGCGGCGTCATAGGCGTCAAGAGATGATATTACCAAGGAAATATACTATGAAAAAGAATTCGAAGTCTCATTGGGCTGCAAATGTAAATGGAAGGGCTCCATCCTTGAAGAATACTTTCGTAGGAGCACAATGCAGGGGTATATAGAAGACTAGAAAACGGCAAATGGAAGTAGATCTGGTATAGTGAGACCACGAACCAAATTGTCAGTGGCCATAGGCAGATTTCCAAGCATTTTTCAAGCTGAAATTTATCGCAATAACAAACGTGTTGAGAGGAACTATCACGGGGAACGAATTGGAATACCCAGCGATATTCAAGCGACACTTCAGACAATCTTATCCGTTTTAAACAAATCAACAATAATCCAGGAGTGTATAAAAGTGCTTGACATGGTTTGTACTGAAGACAATATTTTTGTAGAGTGGATTCCTGGGCATAGAGGAATAATGGGCTAGCCGATCTCCTATCAAAAGAAGCGGCGGCAACCAGTTCGACAAGACCGAAACCGTTATTCGCTTTGAGCCCCCAGACTCTACGAGAAGAGCTTCGGGAAGAGGAACGGGTAGTAAAAAGGCGGTATAAGTCAATACTAACAACAAATGTCTGGACTTTGACAGATGCTTCTGAAAGAATATGGTACAACACGGTTCAAGAATCTAATCCTATTTCACAGAAACCAATTTAGGCACATTTGTGACCAAATTGCAGTAACGCCACTCCTAGATTGCCCCGCAATTGCAGGAAGGTGTCAGGCTATCAGACAGTTGTATTCGGTGGGAGAGCAGTGCAACCCTTAAATTGAAACAAATCTAATCTACATATTGGCCGAAATTTACGGTATAAAACCAACTGGAGATTCGAAATACAAATATCCATTTTTGGCATCACGACGTATGTACTATTACCATAAAGAAGATGCTCCTTATTTTCCGTTGTTGTGAAGATATTTCGTAGACTAGGGAAATGCTAGCCATCTCGATACGAAATGTAATGACGCAGCAACGCCAGTCCAGAGATGGCGATTCAGAATGCTAAACTTAAACTGACCGATAAAAATAAATAAGCATTAGCTCTAAATACCATTTGGCGATCGAAATCCTAAATGCGTTCGTGGTTCGACTAAGACTATGGCTGGATCGTTAGCCACATATATGTATAAGTAAATAATTGCATGAAATGCAGGAATCAGACGAGTGAGCCAAGAGTTGGGCCATAAAACTCAGTTTATCGAACTACATGACCTTGCACCGACACAATTTTTCGAGGTTGGTAAAAGATCAAGGTCATTTCAATTTTAATTACTCGAAACCAGTAACAATGCGTTCGACGGATGTAGGGTTCAGATCGATGACTTGTTAAAATCCTCTGCTAGCTATCTGACTTTTTCCCTAACCTTTCGATTAAGTCATTACGAGAAATGGATGGACGACTCGCACGCTTTTGATGATTTCACGATCTTCACTGAATGCTTTGTGCCACTCAAATACTTCTGTTTATAATTAAGATGACTCCATTGGGAACAGAACATTTCAAATAAACTCATTGTAAAATTCTTTTTCCATGATTAAATCGCCTCACTCACTTCCTAAAGAAAGAGCGACTAAACCCGCACTAATTGCCATTTGGAGACCAAACTCTAGTAGAACAGTCCGGATCATATTTGATCATACGGTAAAGACTTATTTGGAGGAGTGCACTTCACAAAATGTAAACTTCACATATTTAATTCACTGAAGCAAATTCCACTTTATTGAATTTTATTCACATATGTATGTACAAAAACGCATAACATATTTAAACAACTCTTTAGAATAAACCACAACACTGCACAATGTGGAATTATGAATTATATCCTTGGGCATACCCCGTATTTCAATTAATTATGATTAATTTATTATGATTTTACACCTACCATCGGCAAATAATTTCGTTTTTGCCATTATTGTAGCACAGTTTATATTATGTTATAACGGTATCCATCAATTGGCGCACAATAGAAGCTTTATTTATTCATTTGTGGTGCCATAGACCAAAGTAACAATCACACTCACTGTTTGGCACGAATATATGTACATATGTATACATATAATATATATAGCTATATTAATGAATTTGGTATTATTTTCCGTCACTTTGTTTCTTTGACGTCACTTTTTAACATTTCTTTTTTTTTATAACAATTTTTTCAATTCTCACTTTTTTATGCACATTTCACGACACCACAACTCATTTTAATAACATAATAAAAATATGATTGTTAAACTTGTTCATTGCATGTTAAAATGCAAGTGTATCATGTTACTATGCTGTCACAAGGATCGAATCGCACTTTCATAATAAATTCAAATTTTCATTCACAACACACGCTCCATAATCCAAAATGTACATATGTACATATATATATATATGTATGTATTTAGAATGGCCAGCACACATGTATGTATCCTTTTGTGTATGTAATCCAATGAAGGGTAATTCGAAACCGCTTAAACTCCAGCAATTATAATTCGATTGTCGCGATTACTCCGCTCAACAAAATGCAACGAACGACCGATCACTTCCGTTTGAAGAACGCGGCGAGACTGTGGCCGGCACTGGCTCGTGTCTGTGCTTTTCAACCATTGCGAAAATTAGAACGGTACTACAATCCACAGGGAAACGACCCAATTTGACCGATTTGATTTTGCTACACCACCAAATTTCGTTGGTAATTAATGAAATGCAAAAAATTTTCGCCTGCCTTTGACTTTTGGACTCATGTTTTGTCGAGGTAAGCGCTTCGAATTGGCAATATTCTTGTATTGTCGAGTTGTTCAAGTGGTGTTGTTATGCATTTGCCCGAGAGAGTTACCTACGTTAACAGTTATATACATAGCACATAAATCAGGAACACATAAGTACATGCGTTTGCGTTTTTCATTACGGAAAATTTTGTTTTCGTAAGCTAAGGGCAATGAGTGCGTGTCAAAGTTATGCCCACACGCACCGTGGCCAATTTTCGGGGTTACTTGGGTGCAATGCTCCAGTGCATTGCCAACATTTTAAAAATGCTGCAAGTTACTGTTCTAAAACTGCCACTAAAATTTCGAATAAACTCGCACAAACACAGTTACTTACATATCTAGATCTGTATCTGGAAGCATATGGGTAGATTTAAATTGAAACAAGTAAGGAAGGGCTAAGTTCGGGCGTCACCGAACATTTTATACTCTCGCAAGACAAGTTTCATCAAGATATCTCAATTTTTACTCAAGTTACAGCTTGCACGGACAGATAGGCAGACATCCATATTTCAACTCTACGCGTCACCCTGATCACTTTGGTATATGTAACCGTATATCTGACGATATATACCGTTATTAGCAACTTTATTGCGAGAGTATAAAAATGATGATCTCTGAATTGCATGAAAATATCTGAGAGACTTACCGATATTTTCGGTGAAAAATTAGGTTAGGTTAGGTTAGGCACTGAGTTCTTCGTGTTCGATATCAGGGACCTTGAAAAGTTGTAGTCCGAACACGACAGATATATGCACATACATATGTACGTATGTTTATAACAATATTTTTATACTCTCGCAACAAAGTTGCTAACTCCGACCGTGCAAGATGTAACTTGAGTAAAAATTGAGATATCATAATGAAACTTGGTACACGTATTTCTTGGCTCCATAAGAAGGTTAAGTTCGAAGATGGGCAAAATCGGCACACTGCCACGCCCAAAAAATTTCGAAACCTATAAGCACGAAAACCTATAAAGTGTGACAACTAAGCCAAAATAAAGATATTAAAGTGAAATTTGGTACAAAGCATCGCATTAGGGAGTGGCATATTTTTACGTAATTTTTTTTTGGAAAAGTTTGCGTGGCCCCGCCCCCTACTAAGTTTTTTTGTACATATCTCGGAAACTACTATAGCTATGTAAACCAAACTCTATACAGTCGTTTCCTTCAGRCATTTCCATATACAGTTCAAAAACGGAAGAAATCGGAWAATAACCACGCCCACCTCCCATRCAAAGGTTATGTTTAAAATCACTAAAAGTGCGTTAACCGACTAACAAAAAACGTCAGAAACACTAAATTTTACGGAAGAAATGTCAGAAGAAAGCTGCATGCAGGCTTTTTTTAAAAATTGAAAATGTTCGTGACGTCGCCCACTTATGGACGAGAAACCATATCTCAGGAAGTACTCGACCGATTTCAATGAAATTCGGTACATAATATTTTCTAAGCACCCTGATGACATGTACGAAATGTGGGTTAAATCGGTTCACAACCACACCTTCTTCCAATATAACGCTATTTTGAATTCCATCTGATGCCTTCTCTGTATAATATATCCATTAGGAACCAACGATGACAGCGGAATAAAACTTTACACAAATACGATATTTGATGCGAGAGTATAAAACGTTCGGTGACATCTGAACTTAGCCCTTCCTTACTTGTTTTTTATTCGGTTTTGTGTTTCATTTCATCACGGAAAGATTTACGCCTGTACAAGGTTTACAAACGCTCACGGTCTTCGCTCAACTTATGGTCAACTTAATCGACCCAATGAGCGTACTATTCGCAACACCATGTTAAGACTCAGCATTCAATATTGTATACATTTGACCGAATAGAAAGGAAGCATTGAAGAAAATATAGCAGCCGTAGCTGAGAGTGTACACGAACACCGTGGAGAGTCAATTCGATGCCGTTCGCAGCAACTCTGACTGACGTATGGAACAACTTGGCGCATTTTACTTTGAGATCTTAAATGCAGCTTGAGCAAGAACTAAAGCCGCTCAACCTAACCTAGCGGCATTGCTTCGCTCTATGGGCTCTTGAAAAGTTCCAGGAAGATCCGACGTTTTCGAACCAAATCTTATTCAGCGATGAGGCCCATTTCTGGCTCATTGGGTATGTAAACAAGCAAAATTTTAAGCATTTGGGACAAAGAGCAACTTGAAGAGATGCAAGATCTGTCATTTCATCAAGGAAAAACAACGGTTTGCTTTGTTAGCCATTGGAATCATCGGTCAATATTTCTATAAAAATTATCGGCGATATCGTGCCGTGATAACCGACTATTTGTTGCCTGAAATTGAAACTCGTTATCTGGTCGACTTTTGGTATCAATAAGACGGCGCCAATCAAATCACTTTGAAAGCCGATAGTCAGCTAAAAAAGCTTATGGTTTCTGTTTGGTAAGTTTTCAAGTGTATTGTGAGCAGCTGTACTCAAACAGTAGAGGCCTGAATTGATTAAAAGAAAAGGTGTACAAAATTTCTTGGATGGGAGAACCTCAAATCAGGACGTCAAAAACACTTAAACAAGTTTTTTGGCTGCAAAGTGGCTCAAAATGGAGTAATTATATTGGGTAGTCGAAAAAGTCTTTTCGTATTTGTCAATAGATGCCGTTGCAGTCGTACATCTCCGGTGCTGCCAATCACATTGCTATGACACAAATACATATAGTGTTGGAAAGATGAGATTTTAAGCATCATATAACCAAAAAAAATTAATTCGAGTAAGTTGAAAAAAAGTTGCATCTGTTCAAAAATTAGTTGAAGAAATTACGAAATTCGCTTCATTTTGAAATTTTTGCATAAAAAAGGGAAGAATGCCACGCAAGCTACCAATGAAATTTTTGAAGTTTACGAAGACGATGCTGTATCAGTTCGTATAGCACAACAATGGTTCCCTCGCTTCCGTTCTGGAAATTTCGACGTGAAATTGATTTGATGCGCTCTGGTCGACCTTTCGTTGAGAAAGTCGATGAAATTATGGAAAAGATTGACCAAGACCGTCACATAAGCAGCCATGACATCGCTCAGGAACTGAACATTCATCATCAACTGGTTTTGAACCATTTAAAAAAAAAGCTGACTAGAAAAAGAGCTCGATGTTTGGGTTCCACATGAATTGTCTGTGAAAAATTCAATGAATTTTACTAAAACGAAATGAAATCGAACCATTTCTGAACCAAATGGAAACAGGAGATGAAATGTGGATCAAATACGACAGTAATGTGCGAAAATATCATAGACCAAGCGTGGCGAAACTCAACAAATCCGTTCCCACGACAGTCGGGTCTACGAAAACCGGAACGGACCCGGATTTTTATTCGGCCAAGGACTGTCAACTCGGCAGAATTCTGCCGTTACAACAACAACAACAAACTCAACAAATGATCGCAAAGCCAGGATTGACATCTCGAAAGTATAGTTATGCTGAGTGTTTGGTGGGATTGAAAAGCAGTCATCCACTATGAGCTGCTCCACCCTGGTCGAACGATTGATTCTACATTTTACTGTTAACAACTAATTAGATTGAAGCAAGCAATCAAAGAAACACGGTCAGAACTGATCAAAAGAAAGGGCTTCGTCTTCCATCAGGACAACGCTAGACAACACACATCTTCGAAGAATCGGTAAAAACTTGGATAGTTTGACTGGGAAGTTTCGCTATATCCACCATATAGTCCTGCTCTTGCAGCATCAGACTACCATTTGTTTCGGTCAACGCAGAACTCCTTTAATGGAGCAAAGTTGCCTTCAAGAGAAGCCTGTGAAAATTACTTGTTGCAGTTTTTCGCCGAGAAACCAGAAAAGTTTTACACGGATCGAATAATACATATCTCTGGCGGAAAAATGGCAAAAAGTGGTCGACCAAAATGGTACACATTTGGTTCATTAAAGTTCATTATAAATATAAACAAACACAAATAAGTTGAAGTTTGATTACAAATACGAAAATACTTTTTCGACTACCAATATTTTAATGAAATGTTTACAGAACATAAAAATTAAGTTTAAATTGCACTATTAATGAGAAATTACTTAGTTGACTATATAATACATTAAAATAGATAATATTTAAATATTCAATAAAGGGAATATCTAAATTTAAAATTTCATAAAGAGAACTTTTTAAACCTAAGTAACTGAATGAACCACAATTTTTATTCGGTCAAGGGCTCTCAGCTGGGCACCATGCCTAGAAATTACTTCAGGTATGTTTTCGGCCGCTATAGCAACAACCAACCGTCATAATTCATAAGTCATATTATCGAAGTATGTACAATGTGTATTCAAAAAATAAAGTAATTTTCGCTTTTTAAAAAAAATATTTATTCATTTGTCTATATTAATACTGTCGCCTTCAAAATATTCTCTAAACGATATTATGCACTTATGTTAGCTTTTAATACAATCCTAAAAACAAACCTTGTTCAAGAATTCACGAAAACAATTTTTATTAAAAAAAAAACGTAAATCGCCAAATGAAAATTGGACTCACCAAACAAGTGATTTTGTATTTTAAAATTTCTGTTATTTTTTTATACACACCTCATATGTTGAATTCATTATTATATATAATGAAAAATTCTACAGCGTTATATAAAGGGTAGCTTTGAAATTCAGAAAATGTTGAATGACATTGGACGCTTAAACAATTGAGCACTTACCAGCATATTAGTCAATATCAGATTTTATATGTATGTTCACCACCAATTTTAAAATGAAAAAAATAATTAAATTATGTCATCTTCCAAAAATATCTATTTTATTCAAACTTTCAATTAATTCATTTTTCGTCTTTCGATTTTCATACATAAAAATAAAGATATGTATACGATGCTATCGTCTATAGAAAAATCTAGAATTCATAAAGAAAAATCTTATACTGTAATATACATATTTGTATAATAGCATCAAGCAAGTAGTTCAAAAACGATTATAAGTAATTCAATAACAAGGCACTTTTATATTTTTTGGGTGTACAGCAAATTAATATTTGCTACCAATTAGAACTTAAAATAAACCGATTTTTCTATTCTTTAAGAATCCAAAATTATTTTCAAAATTTTATATGGAATATTTTATGAACACTCAGTGAGTACATACTCAAATATTTGCAATGTTAGTTTTAGTGAGATGAGTTCTTACACCGAAGACAAATTATTACTCAATTTATGTTGCTTGTAGAGTTCGTTAATTAAATCTCGAAATAACATTGGATTAATATTTACACTGACTTTAAATAGCAAAAACCAGTCACCAAAGCTGATGTTCTCTAAAGCGAGCTGTACCTGTGTCGTAGACATTGGACGCAACTGAGTACTTATCATTTTTAACCGAAAAGTTCTACTGGACATCAAAAATAGCCGGTACAGCAAATTCAAACCGGCGATTACTGCCATAATAAGGAACCAGCACCATAAAAAAACAAAAATCTTCTCGTTTAATATATTCAGTGGGAGAATACAAAGAACGTCGCGCTTGGTTTGAGAACCACCTGGTCCGAACACAAAGTAGTCGCATTTAGCAACTTTCGGAAAAATTCGGGAGCTCATTCGATTCCAGTTGTCCCAATCATAACGTAGAACGGCAATAAGCGCTTCAATATACTTTGTCCAAAATCCGTTTAAAAACACGTCAAGCAACAAAATATTGATAATCTGTAATTATTAACATAAATTATACACTGTACATATGTATACAAATATTACTCATTTCAAAAGAAGACTCTTATAAATTAAACAGAGAAAACTTTTCAACGATTTAGATAAGCCTTAAATATTATTTACTTACACCAATTACAAAATTTAGCACTTCACATGTTAATCCTTTTACCATATAACAAAAGTGTATTTCCTTGTAGTTGGTTGAGAAGTATTTCACTAACAATTTTAAACGTTCTACGTAAGTATTTTCGGGAATCAATGCATCACCTACATGATTAAAACAACAATATATACTTGAATAAAGCAGAAAGAAATTTAGACTCACCAACTTCGGAGCACAATTGTTTTAGTCGTTGACCTTCCCACATCTTCCAAAGGAAAGATGGAAAATAAAAGAAAACCGATTGCAAAAGTAGCAACATAATGACCCATTGGTAATAACGCAAATACACTCGTTCTGTTACACCATAAACCTCTGGGATTAATCCCTCTGCTATATATGGAGAGGCTTCTCCAGTCTGCGTATTTAACAATTTGTTGCCATGTGGTATACGATCTTGTACATCGTAAACATTGTATATATATGTGCCCAATGTCCAGCAATATGAGTTAACAAATTCACCGTATTTGTCATCGCCCAGACATTGTATAGGCTCACCGAAATATTGCTTTGCTGATAGCAGAAATGTGCAAGTTAATAAAATCACAACCGTACATTTGGAGTGCAAAGTGAATACCACATCATATATGCGTACTGATTTCAATTGCAAATATTTCGAAAGCGGTTTCACGGCGGCATACATATTGACCGTTTGTGGAACAAATATTTCCAAAATATGAAACACGAAATCGCAAATTTTGTATTAATTTTACTTTGCAGTGTACATATAAATTCGTGATTTATGTTATTGTTGCTTAACATGGATGGAAAACACGTTTCAAACGTAAAAGCGCTTGTTTTCATTAAATAACGGATTTTTTGTAATTTACAGGAATACATTTCCATTCTACAAATCACATAATCTACTACAATCGTTTTGTAGAACTCACAGTCGTAATTACACATTTAAGGTTAACATAAAACAGTTTTTACAAAATTATAACAAGAAAATTATATATTTACGAAACTGTATCATACACAGACGAAATAAATAAATAATTCTAATGTAATRCAAAATATATGAAATCACCAATAGAGATTTCAAAATATATAATGGTTATCAAAATCTAAAATAAAGTTAAAATCACATATCCTTACGGCAGCCACACTTTTATTATTATAGTTACAGTTTTTAATATTTTTCCCAGATTATTTATAAAAAATAAAATAACCATAAATAAAAATAGAATAACCATAAGCCCAATCAATTCTCTTGCTAATTTTTTGCATTATGAGCACTCTGTTTCTAACAGCTGTTGCATATCGCAAAACAACCCTCAACGCGGAAATAGCATTATATTGCATTGCTATGCATTACCGTTAAAGAAGTAAAAGGTAATAAAGCCGAAAATATTCTTACGAAGCTCTAATATATTTAATTAAACAAATTCGTGAATTCAAATGCATTAATCCAAGCTATGTGGTTGCCGAATGAAAAAGTGTCATTGTCAAAACAGGTTGGAGGAAAATCTAGCATAATTCCAAACTWGTTTATTTATTTATTGATTTTTCAAAAACACCCTATTTTCATTCGTTCTTCGCTTGTGGCAATGCAGCTACAATGCTTCATATGGAATATCCTCATCAAGCTATCTACGCGCCGTTAAACCAGGTGATTACTGATTCCGACGAGGAATCAGAGGAGGAAATTCACAACAGTATAAAACATTCAAAGCAAAAAATATACCAGCAACAACAGGTAAATCAAAACGCATGTATTGTTAAAAAGGAGCCTCCCAGAAGTCTCGCACTACGCCAATTACAGAACGACTTGAATACTACTCATCTTAAGTGTCACGATTCGCTTGTTTCATCGAAAACAGGTAAGAACATGCAGTTTTCAAAAATTTTGTTTGGGTTACCGATAATCTGTGCCAAATTCATATTACCGCGAAAGCGTGTATTAATTTATATGTGTGTTTAGGTTAAACAAATCGGGAAAAAAATTAATAAAAGAGAGGGCGTGTAGCTACTCCTCATTGGATGGAGTACCCTGAACAGGGTATACTCAGTTTATAACACATAAAACGTCGAAACGCGAACGAAATAAATATTTATATGTATATATACATATGTATATATATAATATATATATGTATATGTATATATAATATATATATGTATATATATAAATGATGAATATGTCGAGCTGAGTTTTTATTTGGCAATATATCTTCACGAAATTTGACATTAATTATTGTCCAAGGCAAACCAAAAAACTGTTCTGTGTGCATGTTTTTCAGGAAATAATTCACTAAACAACAAGGGACAGGAGCGAAGACCCAGCAGTTACACGACCAACATGCAAAACACTTTTCGTTCCGTGATGATGTCCGATATCGGATTAAATGACCAGGCCAGCAGTTTTTCAAGTTTCAATAGCGACTATGATGAACGTAACCATCTTGATGCTGATAACGTAGCTATTTTGGGACGCGGCAGCTTGAAGGATCTCAGCACACATGAACCTATGACACCGGCACGACGTTGTTGTTTCATATCTTCGTTGCTTTTATGTGTGTTTGCTGTTTTTGGTTTTGTTTGGTTGGTGCCCTGCAATAAATCATGCCCCGCACCTGTAGATCAAATACGAACACACAATTGGCTCAACAACTACACAAATATCGAACTGAAAGGCGGTGTTCACGTGGTGGGCGGCTTACGCAGTTGGGAAAATAATTTAATATTCTTGTATCGCGGTGATGATTTCTTCCCGAATAACAACAACGCCAAACGCAATGGCATTATATCGCTAATTGGCAGTTCTGGAGCTGTAGCCTGGTACGATCAAATGGTTGACGAACCTGTAGCCATTGATTGCACACTAATAGACGTAGATCAAAATGGACGTTCCGATTGCTTAGTGCTTGATGAATTAGGTAAATTGGGCGCAATAGATCCAATTTCCGGTAAATGGTATTGGCATTATAAAGAACGTTCACCACACAGAGTAGATGCGTTGGATTTCCCCGTAATACTGCCAGATTTAGATGGCGATGGCGTTTTAGAGATATTAATGGTAACTAGCATCCCTTATGAACTGCGCACACGCAATCTTGTGCATAAAGGTGAACTGCGTGCTGGAAATCATCGGGTCGAAGAGAGAAATTTCTTACGTATACTCTCCGGCCGCAGTGGCAAACCAATGGGTGATGGCTTTAAGGTACAGGATTGCGATGTGTTGCACAAGTTGCAATTGGAGAACTCTCAAAAGGTAACATTCAATTGTTGGCGCAATAATACCGAAGCGCAACGTTCGAAAAGTTTAGCAGACTTATTTGCCTTAATAACAAATAAATCGATTGCAACGGGCCAAAAGCTTATGCCCGCTTCCAAAATTGCGCAGCACCGCCACTATGGCCAACGCAAAGAAACCGACGCGCAACGCAACATTTACTCGCTCAGTGGGCGTGAACTGATCGTGGAAAATCGCGGTAAGTGCCCAGATGATTGCAACGTCACGTTCGTGCTACGCGAAACACACGGCAACAAAACTACCGTCCTGCGAAACTTCACCAATTCCGCAATGTTTGGCATGGTGCCGGCACAATGGCATTTCAAAAATACCAAAAATGAAATGTCAGGTTTTGTTATGAAATTTTGGAATTGGAACAACCAAAAGGATGCACTTCGCACACCAAGCAAGGTTGAGCCCTCAACCAAAGCAAACAATGCGCGCAATAGCGCCGCAACGGCAAACAAAAAGGCCAAAACTCACATTGGCAAGGAGAATGCCACAAAAACTACCAAACAGAACCACATCACGTCAAATAAGACAAAACGTCAAAGTGATAATGATAAATTACACAACGAAGAGCTGGTACATGACTTCCCCACGAAGGCGTTTAGCGCATTTGACTATCTCATACAAAAGCGACACACCTACACATTGCCACTAGCTGAACAGAATGTCACCCGTCGGCGACGTAGCAGTAACAGTAATTTACTGCTGAATAACTACAAAATGCATATGATTACAGAAACTGTAATGTTGGTCATATTCACCGGCGCTGATTATCGCATCGAAAACACCTCACAGAGCAATATTGTACAATTCTGTCGAAATGATCATAACGAAATTGTATGCCAGCCGGATCTGAATAACCAGGAGAACTCTATGCTCATTGCTGATTTCGATATGGATGGCTCACAAGAATTGGTTTCGTATTCGTCGACTTTCACAGAGCATGGCGATGACCCTGAAGATTGGCAGTTGGTAACATATGTACGTTTGTTGCGCCTACAGGCGGAGATGCCAGTTGTCTATGGCGAGAAATTAGTTGAATAAAATATATTAAAAGGAAATGGGACATGATGTTTTGACTAAGTTATTAGTAAGAAATGACGATTTTGTAATCATTGTTATACATAGGTATATGTATATAATATAAACACACAATAAATTACATACATACATACATGTGTTGTATATCATACTGTTCTCATATATTGTATAAGTATATCAAATAAAATATTATACAGTACGTAGTGTATACAAGTTAAAATCTACAAAAAACATAGACACTCTTAACTACATAGATACTTAAAAAATACATAACATACAAAAATGAAAATGAAAAAATGCCACAGGGCTAGTATAAATGTACTCAAAGGCAATGCTAACATAAATTCAAATCATTCAAACTATTTTATTCAATTCAATAGTATTTTATGCTGATTTTTACTCTTCCATTAAATATTGTTGTTATGGTCTTGGAGACCACATTAAATCTCTTCTATAAAGTTTGCGCCATTATATTCTGAAAACTAAGTTTGCACTGAGCATTGCCGTTGAGCCTAAAACTAATTAATCTAAACTATTTACATAATTACAAACATACATAGTGAATTAACAGTAATTCATCTAATTTTTCAAATAAAAGTAAACAAAGTTAGAAATTTCATATTTTTATGGCAACTTTTCTACGTTACCAGATGATGTTATAACTATGACGGCATAGTTACTGCATCGAAGCACAGCTCATTAGAATCCATTGTTGAATCTGTTGAAGTGGTCAGTAATAAGTGGCTCTTTACTTTGATCTTTGTTTTTACTGTTGTTGCATTTTCTGCGCAAAATGCATTTTCACCAGGAATTGCAGCAGTTGCTTCAATGTTGCCATTCTTTTTTTCATGTTTCACTTGATGCAAATCGAATAAACCCTTATTTATGGTGGCATATGTGCACATTTTGCACTTATAAATGATGGAATCGGCCACATGTGGATGTTTTTGTTGAACATGTTTCTGCAAGAAAATTATTGTAAATAAAAAACATACACTTTTGGTTAGGATATATTAAAATTAAATAATTTGTATTAAATATAGTATATTTTAAACAAGGAAAGGCTGAGTCATGCGAGACCGAGCAAAGAAACCTTCCGCTTGATGGCTAGGTCTGTGTAAAGAACGAATTGAACACAATTTTTTACCAATGCCAAATATTGTGAAGATACCTCGTAAAATGAAAAATTTTTTCATACGAAGGCATGATTTTGATCGTTCGGTTATTATGGCAGCTATTGCTATAGTGTTCAATTATTATATTTATATATGTACTATAGGGTTTACGTTTGGGTGTTACAAACATCATGGTAAACTATTTAGAAACCGGAAATATGAGCTAATTCTTAAACTTTTCAAATATCGGCCATTCTAATTTCAACTAACGATATATTCAGCTATAATTTAAAGTCAAATAAACTAGGCAAATGATTTTAATTTGGTCCAACCTAAAACTCGACCAAAAGGACTTCGTGACAAACTATAGAAATTTAGTTGTTATCCCTTACCTGATATGCCACGCTCTGTATTGACTTGTAATCACAGTGAACACAAGCATACATCTTCGCATTATTGTCGTGTGTCATTTTATGGCGTCGAAAGGCGTTGTGATCACTGCCAGAATAGTCGCAGACGTTACATTTAAAACGCCGCGATGACTCGTGCGTTTGCATGTGCAATTTGATAGAGGAGCGTGACGTCAGCACCCGATCACACACCTCGCACTGTATCGCTGCGGCGGCGTTCTTGCACAGATGCTCTCGTAATGTTTTCTGATGTGAAAAAACAGCTTCGCAGTCCTTGCATCTGTAAAAATGACGCGCTGCGGTTACAGGTACTTGTGTGGCATCAGATGTGCTGGCGTTAGTTGTTGTTGGCGCTAACACCATTGGACCGTTGCTTTCGGAAGCTGATATATCTGCCTTTTTAGAAATTTCGCGCTTCGCTGATGGAGATGTTGTGGATTTGTTATGGTTGCGGTGCCAACGACGATGATTTTTCAATTGTTTTGTATTCTTGAAAGCTTTCTCGCACTGGTCGCACTTGTAGTTGCGTTCGTCATAATGAATTTTGGAATGTGTGTTTAGTAAGCGGGAGTATATCGGTGTTTTGAAGCTGCACAGTTCACAGCTATACAGCTCCATGTCGATTTTGTGCGAACGCCAGAGGTGTGTATGCAACGAATTCCAGTTGGTAAACGGCGCTTTGCATTCAGGACATGCCATGGACTGTGGAGGAGATTCACTGCAATCAAAAAGTTAGTTTTTAATAATAAATCACAAAACTGAACGATACGAGTAGAATCGGAAATGCATAAAATATTAAAAAAAAAAAAAAACAATTCTAATCTAGATGTCTAATTTCTTACCTGCTATGGCACCTTATGTGATAATCTAGCGTGCTGGACTTTTTAAATCGAAAGGCACAACCTGTTACGGTGCACTTCAGGTATACGCCAGCTCCATTTTCATTAAGCGGTTGCTTGCGAAGCTTCGTTATGCCAGTACGATTCGAACCAAACGGACGGCCACGTACCGAAGTGCCACCCGTTACAGAGACAGCAATTGGTGTTTTGGTCTGCTGTTTGTCTAAGCTCTTCGTACTATGAGATTTGATCGTTGGTGTTTGTGCCTTTGGTGTTTGCGACATTGTCGTAGCGTTAGGTGCTTGCATTAGATTATTCGCTACATAAATGCGTCCACGTTCCGTTGAATTCGCAGGCGTGTTAACGTTTGTTATTGTTATAGCTTTTGGTGGTAACATAGGTACAAGTGGCGGCACCGGTAAACCAGTCGGAGCAACAATAGTTGTTGAGGTATTTAAGTTACTGCTCACAGCATATGTAGCTGAAGTCATTGGTGTGAGCGGTGGAATGTCGTCAAAGTTGTTCGCCTTATTTTTTTGTGGAGGTGCCGCATCGGTATGTTCTCCAGGGGTGGCTTGATGCAAGCGCTCCTGTTTTAGTACTTCTGCGCTTTCTAATAGAGCTGTATCAATCGACTCAGGTTCTGTTTGAGGTTCCGACATAACCTCATTACAGATCGCAGTCGCATTAACTAAATTTTCAGAGCTACAAACCGGTTCTTCAAGGCTTATGTTTTCAGCGGAAGGGATTTCGCATTCAAAACTGAAATTTGTACTTTTTTGTTGTTGTGTTACAGTCGAAGTCATTGTAGGGTGAACGTTTGTTATAGACTCTGAACTGACATTTAGTTCAGCACTAGTACCGGTGAGCTCTTCCATATCTGGTATCGATATCAGCGATATTTGTGGTGTATCTAAATCGTGTATTGTCTTTTGAGCTGAGGGTAAAGTTGGCGCCATAGTACTCGTTATGATCTCCCTAATATCGTCACCTAAATCATAGTCATCATGCCAACCGTTTTGTGTTGAAAACTCATTCAATTTAAATGATTCACAGCCGTAGGATATCGCTTCAATTAGATTACTGGCATTGCAGTTATCAATTGCCGACAGGGACTCTCCATTTGCATTGTTCGAGCGCACAAAGTTTTCACTCAATTCCTCTTCAACTAGATTGGCTTGATTGCCCTCCAAATTCGGTGCTATTAAGTTTTCAACGTCTTTTCGGTTCATTAAATTTAGTTCGTCCACAGTACGCAAATGTAATAGGCCACGTGGTTCTTGGAACTGCGGTTCTTTCAGAATGTCTACATTTTTTATAAAAATTTTCTGCTTTTGCACATTTGTAATGGCAGTAGCTTGTGTTAGTTGAGCATCTGTCGTACAGTTGTTATTATGACTTACTGTTGTACTCATGGTAGGAGGTGACGGTGTAGGTTCAGTTGTCATTGGTGTTATCGCATCCGCAAACCGATTAGAATCCATTAGGAAATTTTCTGCAGTTTGTTCATTGCCATACGTGTAGTTATCTGAGACGGTGGTGGTACTGTTTACTAAAAAGTTCCCACCCCCACTATCGAAGAGATATTGATCTGATATGGTGCCAAGCGGCAGCTGTGACATGCCACCATTAAAAGGCGGCACTGTTGCGTTCAGGCTATCAACGGTATCTAGGTAGGAATTCACCGTTTGTGGTATTGTTGGTTGCATAAAATTGAAATTCATTACGTTGTTGGTGGACTCTGTTATAGATGGAGCATTGATATTGTTCGAAAATGTCATTGGTTCTTTAAGTATATCAACGTTTTTTATATAAATTTTAGGTCTTCTTGGTTTTTCGAATTCATTTGTGAATTCAGCTATGCCAGCATCGCCATTATTACCAACGAGTGGTTCTCTATTCGGAGGCACGGAATAACTGTATTGCCCATCCGTGTCATTTATTCTACTGTGGCTGTTATCACAGTTACTTTCGTTGTTGTTGTTGGTGTTGCTATTGTTTGGTACGTGCAAATTTAAATCATTGCAGACGCTAATGAAATCGCCGAATGATTGCAACTCATAATCACGACGCGCCAAAGCTGGTTCACGTAGTACATCAACACTCTTAATGGAAATTTTTTGTTTTGGTGGATTTACTGACTTGGTTGTTTCTACAGTTGCCGCTAAAGTTTCATTAACGATATTATCAATATTATTGTCGTTTTTGTTGTGAAATAATGGTTCGCCGTTAGTGAGCATGCCTATAAGATCCTGCTCCTCCATGCTAATGCTGCCAATGTTTTCTAGTGCATTGCATTCATCATTTTCAAAATGAAAAAGGCTATCATTGATTAGATTATCTTGTTGCTCAATCGGATCTCTATTCGGTTCGCGCAAACATTCAACATTCTTCAAATATATCCGACTTCTGCGCTGCATTCCTTTAATAGAGGCGTCATTGGAAACCTCTATATCAGATGTTTTTACGTTGCTAACCGTGTTCGATGGCTCAGAAGGTTGGTTATTCCTTTTAATAGTCTGCATTAGTTCTGTTATATCTTCTTCGGACATTAAATGGTCTTCTCGTAAATGAGTCTCTACAACCGAGTAAGCGTAGAAAATATTGTCACAACCTAAAACCAGGAATAATAAATTAGTTTCAGTATAACTATATGTACATA